ACTCTTAAAGGAATTCCAGTTTCTGATGTTTATTTTATTTTATTTTTTCTTTCTCCCAAGCAAAAGGGGCAGATCTCAAAGGGGAAAGAAAATGGACACAAGAAGGAAGGTGACTGCAGATAGATAACAATAACATGAACATGTTTTGGAAGACCCAAGTTAAGGAGGGAAGAGATGGCAGAGAGATTCCTAGCTGGGCCCCAGTGTAGGGGGCTGGCTCACAGCAGCACATGGGACACAGGGTCATCTCCGAAGAGTAGAGCTGCTACATCTGGAGGAATGGGAGCTGGCAACATCTCCAGACTTATGTTTCCTGCCTGCAATGCCTTTGGCCTGAGTGACTAAATTAAGCCATATTCCCACACTTGCTTGGAGTGGGAGCGAGGCTAATATTCCCTCCAACGGGCTAAAATCATTTCACAGGAGAGTAGGTCACGGGCAAAGCAGGGCTGGGAGGGCTGGGACCAAAAGGCCAGTCGTGCTGGTTGTGAGAAGCATTATCAGCCGAACTGAATTCCCACACTGCGTACCAAACCTAAACTTCTGATTGTCTGTGGGTTGATCCCTTATTTTAATCCCACACAAACTTCCTGGCCACCCAGAGAACTTTTGGGCTCCCTTTCCTAGTTGGTGATGTGTGCTCAGGAAATGCAGACAAATTCAACTCCCAGCCTAACTGAAATATAATTAGTCAAGTACATCTGTTTGGTTAAAAAAGAAAAAAAAATCATATCACGTGTTCTGGTGAATTTTGGAATATTTTTATATGGGGATTTCCTTCTCTTTTGACCAACTCATCAAGAGCCAACTGTATTTTAAATGTTTCCAATGCATAAAAAATACACTTAAATCAAGAACGATTGGAAAGGGAAGCAAAAACGGAAACCTAATTGATAGATTGGAGTCCATGAGTGGTGTGAATGGTTAAGCACTATGCTAATCAAAAGGCTGAAGGTTCAAGTCCACCAAGAGGTACCTTGGAAGAAAGGCCTAGGGATCTAATTTCAAAAAGTCAGACACTGAAAACTCTGCGTAGCAGAGTTCTACTCTAACACACACTGGGTCACCGTGAGTCAGAGTTGGCTCTGTGGCTGCTCGTTTAATTGATAGGTTAGAATCTGCAGAGAGATTATTGGTTTCCTACCTGGTTGCTGCTGTGGGCCCCCTCCTCCCACCCTCACTTTTGTCATATCACCTGAGTGTTGAGTTATCTGGGGTTCCTGACAGGGAGGGAAAGCATGCGACCAGCAGTGCAATTCTCTGTGCTTGTCTCAAACACCACTTTCGGCACCCCGTTTCTGACTTCCCTAGGATGGTGGGCTTTAGTGATACCATTACAAACCTCCACTGATCTCAAGGCTTAAAGGAACAACAACAATAACAAAAAAATAGCACTTCCTCTGGGAAACGGTGGAGACCCTGGTCTTCAATCAGGGACATGAGGAAGGACCTCCTCACTGGGACATCGCTGTCCCCAGACCGCTCACCTTGGCCTTGCGCTTGCTGTCAGACATGATCATTCTCCAGTCAGAGCCGTTGTTGCTGTACCCGATCTTGAATTTCCTCATGAACACTTTGTTCTCCCGGTGCTTCCCGCCCTGAATGATGATGCCCCGCACAATCTTCTCTTCCCCCAGGTCTACTTGGAGCCACTGGTTTACATAGGGATGAGATGAGGGTGGCAGTGCCCAGCCAGAGCGACTCGTGACCAGGCGAATATTTTCAGGCATCCAGTTTCTGTCCGCTTGGTTTGATGCTGTGATCTGGGAGTCAGAAATGAGTCCAGACACCATACCCAACATTCCAGAGCAAGGATAATCTAAGGGAAGGAATAAAATAGGTAATGAAAAATGATTTCCGGGGAGCATACTGAATAAAAATTCATATAATTATATGCACCCATTCATATAATTTTTTAAATCTCTGGAATATTTTACATTCTACAAGCTACAGCCCTCCCACCCTTCACCTTTTCTCTCATCCTTTCATAACTCTCTGCCCTAACTCACATTCCAGCAAAGAAAATTGTCAACCAAGCATGTATCTTCACCTTTTGAGTTCTTCTAAGTTTAATGCCAAACGGTTGCTGTTCCACTCTCTTTGGTATCCAGAAATTCTCTGTAGATAAAGTATATAGGCCCTGCCCAGTAGAAGCTCATAGTTTATAATGGGTTGGAGATATGTAAATAAATAATCCCAAGAGCAAGGGACTGCTAAAACAAAAAAACCAAACCCACTGCCGTCGAGTTGACTGCAACTCATAGCAACCCTGTAGGACAGAGTAAAACTGCCCCATAGGGTTTCCAAGGAGCACCTGGTGGATTTGAACGGCCGACCTTTTGGTTAGCAGCCGTAGCACTTATCTACTACATCACGAGGGTTTCCAGAGACTGGTAAAGCAAAGGTAAAACGAAAGTGGTAAGGAGATGGAGAGAAGAAATGCCTAGTTTACTTCTGAAAGATCACAGCTATTGAAAAACCCTAAGGATCACAGTTTCACTCTGACACACTTGGGTCACCATGAGTCAGAATAGACTGGATAAGGGTGGAGAGAAGGAAAATGCTTGACTCAGCCTGGAGAGGTGAAAGGGGTTTCCCCAAGAAGGTGACATTTGGACTGACTGAGCGTGCAGGACAGCGCCGATCTTCACATTCAGCTGTCCTCCTCACCTCTATTTCCAATGGCATCAGAATTTTTCAACATGAAGATCCCACTGTCATCTCACACATACTATGTCCAAACTGAAGCCATCCTTAGTCCCTTGACATTGAGTACTTTATGGAATCATGTATTCTAACTATGTATTTTAATCATCAAGTTCCTGACTAGTCATCCTGTCTTCCCTTATTTTGTATTTTCCATTCCTGTTTTGCTACCAAATCCTGTCATATTTTCTTTTAAAAAAAGAATCTTGGACCTACATGCAATCTTCATTTCTTTTGGAACCATCCTGCTCCCTTTACTCATGGCCAGGGTCCTCTGGTTGGCCTCCCAGCCCCTGTCTTGAATCTGCACTACACAAAACTGCCATATGATTTTTTAGTAAAACTTTGCTTTTGCCATGTTCAAAAACCCCCCATGGCTCCCTGCTATTTGTAGGATGACATTAAAAGTCCTCTGTCCCTCCCTCATTTTGATGTCACCCTATTTATCTATTTTATTTCCTAATACTGGCAGTATTTCCAATTAATTCTTTTTCCTCTCATATACCATCCATACGTTTCGGTCATTGCTTTTGCTCAAAAGTTTCCTCTTTCTCTGGCAGAGCTAAATTCTGCCCAACCCTTAAGATCTAGCTTAAGACTGATCATAAAAACGTCTCAGACTACCCATGTCTTTATTTTGGGCCCTCCTTTCTCAAGAAAAAGGAACCTTGGTGGTACAACAGTTAAGAGCTCGGTTGCTAACCAAAACGTTGGCGGTTCAAAGCCACTCAGTGGCTCCGTGACTGAGAAAGACCTGGTGATCTGTTCCTGTGAAGATTATAGCCTAGAAAACCCTATGGGGCAGTTCTACTGTGCACATATGGGGCTGCTATGAGTCCATAGCAGCACCTAACAGCAGCAACAACCTCTCAAGAATATGATTGCATGTACAGTTAGTAGCACAGAGTTTAACATTAAACTGGTATCTAGATATTTTAAGTGTGTTAGCCTTTATCCATAGTGTGATGGTTAAGGTTATGTGTCAACTTGACTGGGGCATGATTCTCAGTGGTTTGGCAGTTATGAAATGATGTAGTTTGAGCCGGGATGTAATCTAATGTGATCAGCCAATCAGTTATAAGGGGAGCTTCCTCGGGAGCGTAGCCTGCATCAAATATATATATGAATGTTCTGGCCAAGTTTGCTTGCTAGCTTTGGATCCTGCATCTGGCTCGTCATCATCTGACCTCCGGTTCTTGGGACTTGAGCCAGTGCCCTGCTGTATTGCCTGCCAGTCTTGAGAGTTGTCAGCCTCCGCAGCCTTGGGTTCATCAGCCCTTGCAACTACATGAGTCAGAAGAAGCCTCCAGCCTGTTGTCTGACCCACGGACTTGGGACTTGCTAGAATCTACAACTGGGTGAACTAATTCCTTGAGATAAATCTCTCTCTCTACATACATCTACCCTTCACTGGTTTTGCTTCTCTAGAGAACCCAGTTTAAGACACACAGCTAGTTTATAAATTCCTGAAGGCAATGAACAGCATCATACATCTTTTTTCATCTTCTATAGCAACCTACAGAATGCCGAGCATAAGAATATCAATTGATCAATCGATTGGCAGCTTAACAAAATGCCCAAAATTTCAATTATTCTCCTTTCAAAATTGTATGTCTCAGTCAAGGCCACAGACAGAAATGATAACCTATTATTCTTTGAAACGATTCAATTCTTCATTATTTAATCAAAGTTTAGCCTTAAAACATAACCATCCTAAGTGAGAGGCATGTATCTGATGCAATTACACTACGTTCATGTTAGCAGCTGAACCTTAAGAAATAATTACTTACTTTCCATGTGAGTTGCACAGTTCAGCTCATGTCATCCCTTAACTCAAACCTTCAGTGTCTGCTTGTCTAGGAATTATATATGTACTTTTCAACCAGGCATGCAAGGTTTTCTATATCACGTCTTTTCAAGGTCTCTCCCTGGGTATCCTTTGTTGTTGTTAGTTGCCATCAAGTCCGCCCAACTCATGGTGACTTCATGCACAACGGGATCAGACTGTTGTGATCCATAGGGTTTTCACTGGCTGATTTTTGGAAGTAGATTGCCAGGCCTTTCTTCCTAGTCCTTCTTAGTCTGGAAGCTCCACTGAAATCTGTTCAGCATCATAGCAACACCCAAGCCTCCACTGATGGATAGATAGTGGCTGCTAATGAGGTGCACTGGCTGGGAATTGAACCCAGCTCTCCCACATGGAAGGTGAGACTTCTACCACTGGACCACCACTGCCCTCTCCAGGTGCCATGACACATGCATTTTGTTATAGCCACCTGAGTTGAATAACCTCCTCACCTCTGGCGGGGCTGTCTCTTATTCTATCCCCTCCACTAGAAATTCCCCATCAGTTTCCCCTCCCCACTATTCAAACCTCTTAAAATCTTGACCCATTTTCAAGTGCCACGCCACTTATTCCTTCCAACTGCATGGGATTTTCCTTTGCTTGGACTCTCCACAGCACTTTATCTGCATTCCTCAGATGTGGAATATTTCTCATATTCAGTTCCTTGGATTGCTGTTATTTTCCCCACCCAGATTTTAAGTTTTGAGGGCCTGAATCAAGTTATATTAATACAATAAAAGGCAGATGTCCTTTTCTCAAGCACCCTTTCCTGTAATTCCGCCCGGTATTTTCTCCAGGCTGGGATCTGGAAGCCAAGAATAAACTCGATGGCGATTAAAAAAAGATTTACAAAAATGATTTTACTGAGGGACTAGGAAACTATAAGTGTCAAAAACAGAAGTCACATTTCTGGCCAGTGTGGTCACACCTGCCTGATTCAAAACCAGCTTTTATAAAGGCAATATTTAGCTGGTAATGGGTACCAGATGTTACCATTTGTAGAAAAACATAATTAACTTGAATATTGTAAGGAGAGCAGAACCTTTACCAGATTAATGTCCTTTGTCTAATGCAGGGTTGGCTGAGGCAGTAGTGTACACATCCTCAGATCTAGATCTAGATTGTTACTCCTTCTGTATGTCTGCCTCACCCAAAGAAACAATAAAAAGGCACCATGATTTGCTTTTTACAAAAAACTATGTGGCTCATTTTTAACAATGATTAGGAGAAAAAATATACTCACAATTAAGGGCTTGAATGAGATGCTAGGATATAACTCTGTTCTTCCAAAGAGTCTGGCTCAGGTGTGACTTGGCTGAGTCAGACCCTTTGTAAATAGGGTTGCCAGATTTAGCAAAAACCGTCACCACCACAAACAAACAAACAATAAAATAAAACAAAAATCAGGGTATCTAGCTAAATTTGAATTTCAGACAATGAATATTTTTTTTTAGCGTAAGTATGTCCCAAATAGAGCAAGGGACATTCTTACACAAAAATTATTCGTTGTTCATCTGCATCAACTTTAATGTGATATGCTGTACTTTATCTGGCAACCTTATTTGTAAAACTTAAAACCAATTCTACCTGGGAGGAAGAGATAAGTTCTGTGATGGGGGGATGGATGGGGGTACTCAGTTTTAATGGAAAAACTGATATATGCTGGTGTTTAGATTGAATTGTGTCCCCCAAGGATATGTGTCAACTTGGCTAGGCCATGCTTCTCCATTTTGTGATCTGATGTAATTATCTTATGTGTTGTAAATCCTAACTCCTATAGGTTTGCTATGAGCTGGAATCGAGTCAATGGCAATGGGTTTGGATTTTTTGTTGTTGTTTTGTTTTTTATGATGTTAATGAGGCAGGATTAGAGGCAGTTGTGCTGACAAGGCAGGACACAATCTACAGGATTAGGTTATATCTTGAATCAGTCTCTTCCGAGATATAAAAGAGATTAAACAAGCAAGCAGAGATGGAGGGATCTGACTACCACCAAAAAAGAAGAGCTGGGAGTGAAGCATGTCCTTTGAACCCGGGGTGCCTGAGCTGAGACCCTCCTAGACCCAGGGGAAGATTGGGCCCACAAATGTTGAAGGGAGACAAGGACCTTCCCCCAGAGTCGACAGAGGGAGAAGGCTTTCCCCTACACCTGGCACCCTGAATTTAGACTTCTAGCCTCCGAAACTGTGACAGAATGGATTTTTGTTTGTTAAAGCCATCCACTTACGGTATTTCTGCTAAAGTGGAACTGGATAACTGGGACAACTGGTAAATCAAATACCCAGTTAACCAATTTTCAAAGAAGGAGAAGGTAGTAACTGTATTTGATGGGAGAACCTGAGTGAGCGTAATTTTGGCTTCCCTTGATGACTCAGAAAGTACCGCCGGATGTGGCGGCGCTTGAGCTCCTCACTGTGAACTTTGATTCATACAGGAGCACTCTGACATGTGCAGAAGCCCCAGGTAATAGACTTCTGGTTAACAAGCACAAGATAACAGAGGCCGTAGTGTGTTCTCATACATCAGGCAGCAACGCCGTGAGATTATTTTCACAAAGTTTCATCTCTGGAAAATGATGAAGCCTGCTTACAAAAATGCTCCTTTATCAACTATTTATAAAGCAGAATGGTTTGCTCTAATCTCGTTTTCTTTACATCTCTACATGGTGACACACCATTGTACACTCTAGGATCACTATATTTCTAAAAGATTATTTCTGAACTAAAACATTTGGTCAAAAACATGGGGTTGTGGGGGTCTTATATATACTTTTACCACAGTAAAAAACAAACAAACAAAAAATAAATAAATAAAACAAAGGGCTCTGGAGACCTTGGAAGTCAAATGATGTGTTCCCATGGTAACTTCTAATTTAATAGTTTTTTTTTTTTTTTTTTTTTAAATCCAGGTATACTGAGTTACAACTTGCCTACTCAGTGTTAACTAAAGAGAGGGTGCAATTTTGAGGTCCAGCCACTTGTTTGTCGGAAAGCATAGATAAGAACTGCAAGTCATTAAAAAATTAACCATTGAGCCCTTTATGTGCCAGGCATACAGGACACAGTAGGAAAAATGCAAACACAGCTGCTCTTGCTCTCACAGATCTTCCAGTCTAGGGGATACTGCTGTTGTGTCCTTCTTTCAGTAATCTCCACTCTTAAGGGACTGTGGCCTTGAAAAGAAGAAAATTACCTGCTTGGGTAGCTAAGCAGAAAACTCTGATGTCATTGTCTTATTAGAGGCTCTGTTTGCTGGAGCTGATTCTAGGCTCAATATACTGGGTACCATGTATTGCATGAATTTACGGATACCATTTAGTGAGCATTTACTCTAAGACAGGAGTTTTACAAGTATTCTTTCATGTAATCCTCATTATAGCTGCATCACGATTAATTTCACACATCAGAGAATGGAGATCAGAGGGACTAAATCATTCGCCTACTGTCACGCATTCACAAACCAGACAGTCCAGAGCTGAGCCCTGGTGTGTTTGTATAATTTCTGTCCATGTGACCACCACTATTACATGTTGGCCTCGCCAAACTCTGTCTATATATTAAGCATTTAAAATATATTAAAGGTCATGAATAAGAGACTAACACAATGAACTTAAAAGCAGTATGGTTACTTTATTTGAAAAAAATAATAATTAGCTACTTAAAATAATTATAAAATAGAATATATATGAAAATATTAGAATATGCTACTTTAGACATCTATCATTAAATAACTGGGTCACTTAATGAAAACCTTTTTAACCCAATAAATCATTTGCCTTCTTTTCATGTGAAGATACATACTCCCAGAATTCTCAGGGAAATTCTTGTGAAAATAAAAAAGGGCAATTTGAGTTTAAATAAGTATTTTATTTAACTGAAAGGATGTGGCATAAATCTTCAAGAGCTTGAAAATTCAGAGTTCAGACTAACACATTACAAGTCATTACGAAGTTTACTTCTTTTTTTTTTTTGTACAGTGGCATGAGATAAGGCTGGAGGAATAGGCCAGAAATTTCCACCCTGACCTCAAATGGCCTGGCCTTGTTTCTATGGATTTATGGGTAGGCTCTCAAATTGGCAATGCTCTAAAAATGACCTAGAACTTTCTCTCATCTAACTGCTGATTGAGAAATAAAACCAAGGTTATACCTAATTTTTCAGTGCCCTTTCTTCTTCCAAACCCCTTTCCACCTAATTCCTGCCTTTAGCTAAGGCCTTAAACTTTTTAAGTTTTAGATTCTAAAACAATAAACAGCTCTGTCTCTGGTACTGAAATAAATATGATTTTGGTAAGAAATCAGATGGCAGTTTTTATTTTCCAAGATGGACTTTACTATTAACAAGTGCAGTTTTTTTTTTTTTTTTTTCCTTAGCTCTTCTCCAGATTGCTTGCAATTTCATGGAAAACCTTCCAGCTGATTTTTTTTTCTTCCTTATTTAGTCTGTTAAATCTGTCAATCACCTCTAAAAATAATTATACTAAAATGATAAAAATAAAAATAATAGTGTTGAAATTCATGGAATGATAAATTAAATGCCCTAAATATGTGTAAAAGCTATTGCCTTCGAGTGGATTCCAACTTATAGCAACCCTATACGACAGAGTAGAACTGTCCCATAGAGTTTCCAAGGAGCGGCTAGTGGATTTGAACTGCCAATCTTTTGGTTAGTGGCCGAGGTCTTAACCACTGAACCACCAGGGCTCCTAAATATGTACACTAAAATGATAATATTAGAGATACTTCATAAACTTTTAAAAGTTCTTAACTTTGAATTATTTATTGCTGAAGCAATCTACTGATTTTGTTTTTTGAACTTTTAAGCTTAATATGAACACTATATTGTACTGCTTTTTGTTAAGAAAGATTTGCAATGTAATTACTTAAATGGAAAGAAATTCTAATGTGACTGCTATTTACTTCAGAATACAGAGTAGTTTTACAGGAGGATCAATGGACAAGTAATAGCAGTACTGATAGTCATAGAAATGCAGTGAGAATAATAGTTATGGAAATAGTTTTACTTCCCATTTCATCCTAACCTGGCACACTCTTTTATCTGCTGAACTTCTCAGTAACTCCATTTCTTCATCTCTCAAATGGAGATAATACCATTTTCTCACCTAAATTTGACAGAAACTTTTAAAGTCCTGTTAGTGTTAGAAGAAACGAACTAAAAAACTAGAAACACGTACCAATGGATTTCTAATTTCAGGATATTCATTCAGCAAAAAGTAGATGCTTACTGAGACAAAACCTATCTAAGAGAATGTTGTTGAGATAGTTAACGAGTAAAATGAGACACTGTCATGAGTTAAACTCCTCCTTAACCGTAGTTGTTGAGATGGTCTCTTAACTCCAAAATTAAAAAGATAAAGCTTGTGGAAAATCTTTCCTGCAACAAGTATTCACTGTAAATCTACTAAAGTACCAGTCAGTGTGCTGTGCCCCAGGGAAATATAGGTGCAAGGCATGGTGAGGTGACTGACTTCATAGAACTTGCTGTCTAGTGGAAAAAGTTGTTGGTTGCCAGAGAGACGATTCTGCCCCATGAAGACCCCGTGTGTGCAGAGCAGAGCTGCTCCATTGGGTTTTCAAGGCTGTGACCTTTTGGAAGTACGTTACCAGTCCTGTCTTCCAAGGTGCCTCTGGATGGGTTTGAGCTGCCAACCTCTTGTCTGTTAGTCAAGTGCTTAACCATTTGTGTCTCCCAGGGTCCTCACCATTTAGCAAATATCACCTACAAGCCAGGCTGTGCTAAATGCCTTATATCCATTATCTCATTCATTATCACAACAACCCTTTGGGGTGTATAGTATTATGACTATTTCCAGTAAGATAACTGAGGCTTTGAAAGGTAAGTATACTGCCCAAAGAAACAAGTTTATGAGAGGTGCAAGCTCTGAACTCAGATTTGCTTCACTCCAAAACAGATGCTCTTAACTCACACATAAAAAAATCATTCATACAAAATTACTCTTCCTATACTTAAAAGTTTGTATACAGTAAAACCAGCAATCCTAAAGCCAGTGCTTACCTGTTATCTTGCATCCATAGACTTCAAACCTCATAGATATACCAGTTTCCCAAGTCATAGGTCTGATCCGGACAAATCGAGTTATCAGTGGTTTGGGGAAAACTCCAAACACAACATCTGTGGGGTTGGTGTTCCCCTGAAAGATCTGTATGGTGAAAGAAAAGGTCCTTTAAATAATAGAACTTTTGGATTTAAAATAAATCCAAAAATAAGTTTTCATAAATGCTTGCAAAAATATTTACAATTTCAGCATTATCCATCAAGCTGGGATGGCGTTAATAAATTGCCATGTTATGTTTTCAAAAGATAGCAAGCAATGAGGAAGAATCATAGTTAATAGAATGTTGTCCTAATCATCTGTTCAATTTTCCGAGTGGCCGGAACAACTGGAATCCTAAAAACACTACTACAAGGAAAACCTTTTTTACGGACACATACCATCACCTATAAAGTGGAGAATTATTAGTTTTACCATAAGGACCTATAGAATACTATAGACATTCCATGGGAACCATAACAATTTCACTTTCCCAGGGACCTCCAGATGGAATGCTCTTTTTGAATTCAATGTAGGAGTCTGGCTTTTTGAAATTCTAGGTTATGTTCCCAGCTATTGTACTACATCTAGCAGCCTCCTCCTTTTTTTCTCCATGTCTTCATGGAAGATCTTGTCCTTGATGTTAATTAATGAACTTAACATTTTTTTAGTTAGTGGTAAGTTTACGTTTCCGTCGTCAAGATCAAAACTGAGTCATAAGTGATTTTTAACTGAAAATCACCTTTTCTAAGACTTCTAGCTTTAAAATGAGTCATTTTACTGTAAGAAAGAAGAGGGGTGTAACTGCAAATGTAATGAGTGCCAGACCTGAATCCCTTTCCCAGTAAGTATCTATTGGGACCACTCTGTCTTGGGCATGGCATCACAACAGGGTTCTCTAGTAAGATCTCTGAGGAATGGAGATCATCCTCTATCGCGGAAAATTCCAGCACTAGACTGGCCTTAGGTGGACTAGAAAGCCTTCACATTACCCTACTCCTGGATTTTTACTTCAGCCCTGGATTGGGGACAGCCTATGTAAATTTAGTGCTTAACAGTTTTATGGTTATAGGGTCGCAGTGAGTTGGAATTAACTCAAAGGCAATGGGTTTTTGGAGCCCTGGTGGCACAGTGGTTAAGAGATTGACCGCTAACCCAAAGGCTGGCAGTTCAAATCTACCAGCCCCTTCTTGGAAGCCCTATGGGGCAGTTCTACGCTGTCCTATAGGGTCACTATGAGTTAGAATCAACTTGATGGCAATGGGTTTAATGGGTAGTTTTATGCTTAGCACCATGCTTCTGTGCACAGCTGAGTCATAATCCTCCTTGTAGGTTGTACAACCAGAGCGTTATTGGGGCCCAGAAGAGAAATGGAGATTTCTCCCCACCTTTCCAGATAAATACATGGAGGAGGACTATAGTTTCCCAAGGCTTGAACTTACCTCCTGGGAGAAAGAGTTTGTAAAAGTCTGGCTAGTGTTTTACTTTATTTCCTTTAAGTGGACTGTACAAGCGAAGGTGGTCAAATGCTTTAGAAAGTTGGTTGTTAGCCTGATCCTTTTCTGGAGAAAATTTAATATCATAATTTGTCCTAGCCTGTGATGGCCTTTAGATTTCTGTCTTAGTTCCAACAGCTCTTTCTGGGAAACAATCTGCGTGGCAGCATTCTTGTGTGACAAGGAATGATGGCTAGTTATGTCTGGAAGAAGGAGAGTCCATAACCCTGGGGCCACCTTATAGAGCAGCATGTCCACTTCAGAGAGAAGCCAGAAGTCCGCTGAGTGCTCTGACAGAGGTTGAGGGGGGTGCACATTTCACTCACATTGAGGGAAGCTTATGTTCACCCAAAACTATGTAAATATATAAATTCAGTTCAGCATAAAATGGGCTGCTGGAGTTGTTATTAGTCCAAGGCTCTCTGTGGTATGGTCAACTGTCCCTGAGGAAAGTAGGAAAGATACAGACAGCAGTGGCTGAAAGGCTCCATGGTACAGAGAAAGGCAGAGTGGTCAACAAGAACGAGACACCTACTGGGTGTTGGATTTATTTAGGTTCAACTGAAGTCTCAGAGAGATACCACATCTTCATCTCTACTGAATCTTTCCTTATTCTTTCTGTCTCCTATGCTGGAAGCCCTTCTGTGTGCCAGAATGTTCCTGATAATGGACCTAGTTCACGTGCGTGCTCTCTGACACCTTCCTACCTGGCTATGAAACAATCCATACGGAATGATGGAAGAGGACTTTGTGGGGACTTGGCACTTATTTTTTAAAGTAATAGCCTGAAGGTCTAGTGTCTATTCTTCCCATTCTCTGGGTTCTTTTTATTGTTGGTGTATCCTTAACATTTAGTGTTATTTTTATTTTTTTCTCAAATTAATGCAAAATCTCTAAAAATCTACTCTGAAACAAGAATGAGCCATGAAAATTGGGGTCAAAATTTACTTGCTCAATCTCCACAAAGGTTGATTGTGAGGGAGCAAATTGGCTCTAGGCCCTCCAGTGCTAACAGTGGCCTTAAACTTGCCTGTCCATAAAGCTTTCCTTCCACTGAGCAGCTAGCTACCTGTCCCCTTCCGTCTTGCTTGCCCTAAATGAGAACGGAGGTTTACAGCCAATCGAGGGAAATTCATAGTTCATCTCTCACTCAACATCCAAAAGACTTTTCTCAGTCTCATACCCAGAATGAGAAAATCAAGGCCATGAATACTCAAAAGAGAGACAAGGACATGTTAAGTGGCCTTTTCCCATACCCATAAGTTCAAGTTACCTGAATCTTCACTACTGGTATTATCAATTCCCTTTGTTTTACTCTGCCTCCAGGGGCAAGCTTTTAACTCTGGGTATGAGTTTCCAGAAATCTTCTGATTAGTAAATCAGAGCAAGTATAACTTCAAATAAACAAGCAGGCTGAGAAAAACTTTCCAGTTCCAAATGATATAGGGCAGAGAGCCCCAGGGACAGCATGGTCTATGTTGCCTCCTTGGTTGAAAGCAGTTAGGAGGCAGCGTGTTATTTGTGTGATCTAAGGGAACAGAAGGAAATACCTTTAGTTCTATTAGTTCTCACCAGAAGCAGCCAAACACACTTGTAAATTAGTCTGTAAGCCACAGAAGGTAGATGAAAAGGAGTTTTCTAAAACTGGTCCGTTACATAGAGGAAGAAAGACTGAATGTTTGAAAGAGAATGAAGGGGGGAAAAAAAAACAGGGAAAAGAAAAAGAAAAAAGCGGTCCTAGGCTGTAAGGGGACAATATTACCCTATGTATAGTCTACATCCCTGTGGGATGTTTAAAGTGATTCTCGAGTCTGACACTTAATTTGGCTGGCATTGACTTTTCTTGGAAGCGTCTGTATAATTTCCTTTTTTGCTGCTGGATCTGGGAACATGAGATACTTTGGTCAGTCTTAAACCTCTAATTGCACTTTTCATTTTCAATCAATTTAAAAAATAAGCGAGGCCAGACAGAGGGCCCCCAAACAAACAAGTAAAAATTGATCATCCGTTTAAAAGACTGAATCAGCTCAGGGGTGGCAGCTAAACTTACAACAGGTTTACTTCCTTCTTTTATGGTGATCCAGTCTTCCCCATTGGAGCTGATGTCTACTCTGTAAGTCTTGACATAATATTTCTTCTTGGTTTCCTTTGAAATGGCTCCCTGTGTCCCAACAGCTGTGACGAAGCGTAGAAGGCCCAAGTCTACCTGCAAGACAATTACAAGTGGGTTGGCGTAGTGTGGTCAGTTGGGTATCTTTGCACCTCCTAAGCTGGAGCATCTTTGCCTGGGAGCTCCACATTGTAGTTTTTGGTTTTTTTTTTTAATTCAGCTGTGATCAGTAGGTCCCAATTCCATCCATGTCAACAGCCCCTGAGTCCCCTTCCACTCCTTCTAAAGAAAGGTACTGACCAGCTGATAGTGATTGCCCCAGGCTGGTTTCTATTGCTAAGGGAAAGACCAGGAAGAGACCTCTCTCACTGGTATAAGCAGGATTGCCTGATACCTGGTGCAAAGGAGAAAACTGGGTTCAATGTCATGTTGCTATATTTTCTAAGAATTAAAAATACTTTCCAAACAGCACACATTGATATACCTAATTTTACATACAGAAAATCAAGACAAACAAGATAAATTCATATACTAGACATTAGAGAGATCTGGACTAGAACTCAAGTCTAACATGATTCTATTTTCCATCACTATTCAGCACCCTGTCGTTGTTAGGTGCCATGGAGTCGGCTCCAACTCATAGTGACCTTATGTACAACAGAACAAAACATTGCCTGGTCCTGAGCCATCCTCACAGTCGTTGCTATATTTGAGCCCATTGTTGCAACCATGGAGCCTCTACTTTACCAAGCATGATGCTTTCATCAGCAATTGGTCCCATTAGCACCTACCTCCTTCCAAATAAAATGCAGACTGAAACAATACATAATTTGAAAGCACGATGAGTGTTGTGGTTAAGGAACTGGGCCATAGATTTATAATCAGGAATGAAGTGGAGAGAAGGAGGGCAAACTAAGAGTTTTTGTTGCATCTTTACATTTCTTTCTTCCCTGTATCTTCTTGTGACCTCTCTCCTTGCAGTTCAGCTTGAGAGGCAGGTAGATTCCAGGTACCATCTGGCAAGGATGATGCTACCAATACAAAAACTGCTAGGCTTTGCAAGCTTCTATTGGTGAGATTCCAATGGAGCTGCTGCTCATCCTGACAGCCTGACTTTATCTCTTATGAAACCAGTTGCCATCTAGTTGATTCTGACTCATGACAACCCTGTGTGTGTCAGAGTACAACTGTGCTCCATAGGGTTTTCAATGACTGATTTTTTTTGGAATTAGTTTGCCAGACTTTTCTTCTGAGGTACCTCTGGGTGAACTTGAACCTCCAAACTTTCAGTCAGCAGCCAAGTGTGTTGACTCTTTGTACCACCAGGGACTCCCTATCTCACTAACCTGTCTCATATCCCTGAAGGCTGGGCCACACTAGAGAGTTCCACTTTGAGGGCATCACAGTAGCGATGACCAGAGGGTGAGCGGATCCTCAAAGATCCGTGATTTCATCCCAGAGATATGCAGCTTGAGTCATTCCTTGGCCCTGTGACGTAGTGGGAAGGATGTAGTTCTAAGCATCAGGCACTCGAGGTTGTAGTCCTCGCTCTGTCATTATTAGTTGTCTGGCCTTGGACAAGTCACTTCATCTATAGGCTTTTAGTTCCTCATTTGTAACATGAAACAAGTGGACAAGATAACCTGAAAGATCCTTTTCAGCTCTGACTTCCTATGATTCCTTCTTTCATATTCCTTACAAATGTTTTTCAGTAAACTAGTTTGCTTTTTCTTTAATTTTCCTTATTTCCATCATTAATAACTAAGAATAATCTTAGAATAAAACTCTTCACCAGTTACCATATATTAGCAATATTTTCAGTTTCCTTTTTATTTTAAATAATGCATTTGTTTATTTCTATAAAATTGTTTCAGTCTTTCTAATGTATAAGGAGTCCTGGTGGTAGAGTAATTAAGCACTTTATTGCTAACAGAAAGGCTGGCGGTTCCAACACATCAGCTGCTCTGTGGGAGAAAGATGTGGCAGTCTGCTTCCGTACAGATTTACAGCCTTGGAAACTGTATGGGGCAGTTCTACTCAGGGTCGCTATGAGTTGGAATCAACTCGATGTCAGTGGATGGATCTATTGTATGGTCAGGATTTTATGGAAACTTTATAAAAGTGAAACAAATACAGGGATACCTCAGAGATATTATGGGTTCGGTTACACACCATTGCAATAAAGCAAATGTTGCAATAAAGCAAGTCACGTGAATTTTTTTTGGTTTCCCAGTGCATATAAAACTTATGTTCACACTATACTGTAGTCTATTAAGTGTGCAATAGCATTATGTCTTAAAAAAAAGAGTACACATCTTAATTAAAAAATACTTTAAATGAACAAATTTTTACAAACACACTACCTACCTAAACTAACACAAACTGAGATAGAAAATCTCAACACACCTATAACAAGAGAACACGTTGAAAAAGTAGTAAAAAAAACTTCCAACCAAAAGAAAAAAAAAAGCCCTGGCCCTAACGACTTCGCTGGATAATTTTACCAAACATTCAGAGAAGAGCTCACACCAATACTACTCAAGCTATTTCAGAGCATAGAAAAGGAAGGAATACTCCCAAACTCATTCTATGAAGCCAGCATAATCCTGATACCAAAACCAGGAAAATACACCATAAAAAAAGAATATTACAGGCCAATGTGTCTCATGAATATAGATGCAAAATTTCTCAACAAAATTCTAACCAACAGAATTCAGCATCATTACATAAAAATAATACACCATAACCAAGTGTGATTTATACCAGGTATGCAAGGATGGTTCAGCATTAGAAAATCAATCAATGTAATCCTCCACATAAATAAAGCAAAAGAAAAGAATCATATTATCTCAATTGACACAGAAAAGGTATTTGACAAAGTCCAACACACATTCCTGATAAAAACTCTCAATAAAATAGAAATAGAAGGGAAATTCCTCAACATAATAAAGGGCATCTATGCAAAACCAACAGCCAACATAATCTGCAATGGAGAGAGGCTGAAAGCATTCCCCCTGAGAATGGGAAAAAGACGATGCTCTTTATAACTGCTCCTATTTAACATTGTGCTGGAAATCCTAGCTAGAGCAATAAGGCAAGAAAAAGAAATAAAGGGCATCCAAATTGGAAAGGAAGAAGTAAAACTATCCCTATTTGGAGATAATATGATCCTATACACAGAGAACCCCAGAGACTGCACAAGAATACTACTGGAACTAGTAGAAAGATTCAGCAGAGTAGCAGGATACAAGATAAACATACAAAAATCAGTTAGATTCTTATATCCAACAATGAGAACTTTGAAAAGGAAAACAACACCACTTTTAACAGCCCCTAAAAATATAAAATACTTGGGAATAAATATAACCAGGGATGTAAAAGACCTATACAAAGGAAACTACAACACGCTACTGCAAGATACCAAAAAAGATGTACATAAATGGTAAAATATACCATGCTCATGGATAGGAAGACTCAACATTGTGAAAATCGCAATCTGTAGACCAAAGGAATCTACAGATATAATGCAACCTTGATCCAAATATCAACAGCATTCTTTAAAAAGATGGAAAAACTAATCACCATCTTTATACGGAAAGGAAAGAGACCCCAGATAAGCAAAGCATTATTGAAGAAAAAGAACAAAGTAGGACGCCTCACACTACCTGATCTCAGAACCTACCATACAGCCACTGTAGTCAAAACAGCCTAGAACCAGTACGACAGATACATAGACCAATGGAACAGAATCGAGAACCCAGATGTAAATCCATCTGCCTATGGTCAGCTGATCTTGACAAAGGACCAAAGTCCGTTAAAAGGGGGAAAAGACAGTCTTTTTAACAACTAATCCTGACAAAACTGGATGTCCACCTGTAAAAAAAATGAAACAGGACTCATACCTCACACCATACACAAAAACTAACTCAAAATATATCAGAGACCTAAATATAAAACCTAAAATGACAAAAATCATGGAAGAAAAAATAAGGACAATGCTAGGGACCCTAATACATGGGATAAATTCAATACAAACCATAACTAACTGCACAAACACCAGAAGAGAAAGTACATAACTGGGAGCTCCTAAAATTAGACACTTAGCTCATCAAAGGACTTCAACAGAAGAGTAAAAAGAGAACCTACAGAGTGGGAAAAAATTTTGGCTACGACATATCAAACAAGGGTCTAATCTCTAAAATCTATAGAATACGTCAACACCTGAATAACAAAAAAGACAGATAATCCAATTAAAAATATGGGCAAAGGATATGAACAGACAACTTCACCAAAGAAGACAGACATTCAGGCAGCTAACAGACACATGAGGGAAAGCTCAAGATCATCAGAGAAATGCAGATCAAAACTTCAATGAGATACCATCTCACGCCAACATTACTGGTACGAATCAAAAAAAAAAAAAATAACAAATGTTGGAGAGGTTGCAGGGAGAATAGGACTCTTATGCACTGGTAGTGGGAATGTGGAGTGGCGCAACCACTATGGAAAACAATATGGCATCTCCTTAAAAAACTAGAAATAGAAATACCATATCCAGCAATCTCACTCCTAGGAATTATATCCTAGAGAAATAAGAGCCCTTACACAAATAGACATACACACACCCATGTTCATTGCAGCATTATTCACAATAGCAAGAAGATAGAAACAACCTAAGTGCCCATCAACAGATGAATAGATACACAAATTATGGTACATACACACAGTGGAATACTACCCAAAGATAAAGAACAATGATGAATCCATGAAACTTCTCACAACACGGATGAATCTGGAAGGCATTAGGCTGAGTAAAATAACTCAATCACAAAAGGACAAATATTGTATGAGACTACTATTATAAAAACCCAAGAAAAGGTTTACACACAGAAAAAAAATGATCTTTGATGGTTATGAGGGAAGGGAGAGGTTGGGAGAGGAAATCACTAACTAGATAGTAGACAAGTGTTAACTTTGATGAGGGAAAGACAACACACAATATAGGGGAAGTCAGCACAACCTGACCAAGGCAAAGTCATAGAAGCTTCCTAGACACATTCAAACATCTTGAGGGACCAAGTTACTGGGGCTGAGGGTTGGCGACCATGATCTTGGGGAACACCTGGGTCAACTGGCAAAACACAGTTCATAAAGAAAATGAATAGCGTCTAGGCTCTTAAAAGCTTGCGAGTGGCCATCTAAGATATATCTATTGGTCCCAGCAAGTTCGGAGCAAAGGAGAATGAAGACAACCAAAGACACAAGGAAAATATTAGTCCAAAGGACTAAGAGATGACTTGAACCACAGCCTCCACCAGCCTGAGCCCAGAAGAACTAGATGGTGCCTGGCTACCACCACCAACTGCTCTGATAGGGATCATAATACAGGGTTCCAAACAGAGTGGGAGAAAATGTAGAACAAACTTCAAATGCACAAAAAAAGACCAGACTTACTGGTGACAGAGACTAGAGGAACTGCCAAGACTATGGCCCTGGAACACCCTGCTAACTCAGAACTGAAGCCACTCCCCAAGTCCACCTTTCAGCCAAAGATTAGACAGGCCTATAAAACAAACAATAACACACATCAGGAACATGCTTCTTAGTTCAATCAAGTATACGAGACCAAATGGGCAACATCAGCCCAAAAGCAAAGATGAGAAGGCAGGAAGGGACAGGAAAATTGGACGAATGGACATGGGGAACCTGGTGTGGAAAGAGAAAGGGAGCAAGTGCTGACACTTTGCCGGGATTGCAACCAATGACACAAAACAATTTGTGTATAAATTTTTGAACGAGAAACTAATTTGCACTGTAAACATTCACCTAAAACACAATACACTTAAAAAAAAACTTCACTGCTAAAGAATGCTAACCATCATCTGAGCCTTCAGAGACTCATACGCTTCTTGCTTGTGGAGGGTCTTGCTTCAATGTTGATGGGTGCTGACTGATCAGGGTGGTGGTTGATGAAGGTTGGGTGGCTGTGGCAATTTCCTAAAATAAGACAACAATGAAGTTTGCCTCATCGATTGATTCTTCGTTTCACAAAAGATTTCTCTGTATTATGTGATGCTGTTTGATAGCATTTTACCCAGACTAGAACTTCTTTCAAAATTGGAGTCAATCCTCTCAAACCCTGCCTCAGCTTTACCAAGTTTATGTAATATTTTAAATCCTTTGTTGTCATTTCAACAATGTTCACAGCATCTTCACCAGGAGTAGATACCATCTCAATAAACCACTTTTCTTTGCTCATCGATAAAAAGCAACTCCTCATCCATTAAAGGTTTATCATGAGATTGTAGCAATTCAGTCACATCTTCAGGCTCCACTTCTAATTCTAGTTCTCTTGCTATTTCCACTACATCTGCAGTTACTTCCTCCACTGAAGTCTTGAACCCCTCACAGTCATCCATGAAGGTTGGAAGCAGATTCTTCCAAACTCCTGTTAATGTTGATATTTTGACCTCCTCATATGAATCACGAATGTTCTTACTGGCATCTAGAATGGTGAATCCTTTCCAGAAGATTTTCCATTTACTTTGCCCAGATCCATAACGATATATAATCACTACATATACTACATCTAGCCTTATGAAATGTATTTCTTAAATAATAAGACTTGAAAGTCGAATTATTCATTCACCCATGGACTGCAGAATGGATGTTGTGTGAGCAGGCATGAAAACAACATTAATCTCCTTGTGCCTCTCCATCGGAGCTCTTGGGTGACCAGGTGCATTGTCAATGAGCAGTAATATTTTGAAAAGAATCTTTTTTTCTGAGCAGTAGGTCTCAACAATGGGCTTAAAATATTCAGTAAACCATGTTGTAAACAGATGTGCTGTCATCTAGGCTTTGTTGTTTCGTTTATAAGCACAGACAGAGTAGATTTAGCATAATTCTTAAGGGCCCTAGGATTTTTGGAATGGTAGATGAGCATTGGCTTCAACTTAAAGTCAGCTAATGCATGAGCCCCCTAACAAGAGAGTCAGCCTGTCCTTTGAAGCTCTGAAGCCAGGCATTGACTTCTTCTCTCTAGCTATGAAAGTCCTAGATGGCATCTTCTTCCAATATAAGTCTACTTTGTCTACATTGACAATCTGTTGTTTAGTGTAGCCACCTTCATCAATTATCTTAGCTTGATCTTCTGGATAACTTGCAGCAGCTTCTACATCAGCACTTGCTGCTTCACCTTGCACTTCCATGTTAATGGAGATGGCTTCTTTCCTGAGACCTCACGAACCAACCTTCGCTAGCTTCAAACTTCTCTTCTGCAGCTTCCTCACTTCTCTCAGCCTTCACAGAATTGAAGAGAGTTAGACCTTGCTCTGGATTAGGCTTTAGGTTAAGGGAAGGTTGTGGCTGGTTTGATCTTCTGTCCAGACCACTAAAACTTTCTCCATATCAGCAATAAGGCTGTTTTGCTTTCTTATCATTTGTGAATTCACTGGAGTAGCACTTTTAATTTCCTTCAAGAACATTTCCTTTGCATTCACAACTTGGCTAACTGTTTGGTGTAAGAGGTCTAGCTTTCAGCCTACCTTGGCTTTGGACATGCCTTCCTCACTAAGCTTAATTATTTCTAGCTTTTGATTTAAAGTGAGAGACGTGTGACTCTTCCTTTCACTTGAATACTTAGAGGCCACTGTAGCATTCTTACTGACCTAATTAAAATATTTTCATGTCTCAGGGAACAGGGAGGCCCAAGGAGAGGGAGAGAGACAGGGAACGGCTGGTCGGTGGAGCAGTCAGAACATACACAACATTAATCAACTATGTTTTTATATGGGCGTGGTTCATGAGGCCCCAAAATAATTACAATAGTAACATCAAAGATCATTGATCACAGATCACCATAACAGATATAATAATAATGAAATAGTTTGATATATTGCAAAAATTACCAAAACGTGACACAGAGACATGAAGTAAGCATATGCTGTTGGAAAAATGGCGCCAATAGACTTGCTCGAGGCAGGGTTGCCTCAAAAGTTCAATCTGTAAAAAATGCAGTATCTGGGAAGCACAATAAAGCAAAGCACAATAAAACGAGATATGCCTGTACAGTAAAACCTGCAAAAGCCAGAACCTGTGTAAGGCAGAAACCTGTCAGAGAAGGAAAACTCAAATATTTTCCACTAGTAGAGAGTGATAGAAAAGTGGTAAGACCGCACCTTGCCAAAGGCGGAAAATTTGCGCGACCTGGAAAAACAAGGCAGCCCCGTTGGGTTCTGGCTCTCATAGGTTTCACTGTATGCAGTGAATACTTCTTAAAGAACACAGCATGTAATTAAACATTATCATCAGTTAACATTTCCAAGGCATTGCAACAATACATTTATCATTAACAGGCAATGCAACACCATCTTCTCCGAAAACAGCAAAAGAAAAGCAAAACAAAACAAAACCCCCTATAGCTGACCAAAAGTTTGAATTGTGCTTTCCAGTTACTATACCACGACAACCCAGTTTTCAGTAAAACAATATTTCAATGAACCCTCCAATGCCTGTAGGCCATGAACACCTAGAGAAATTCTATTCTATGCACAGTCTACCTCATGAAGAATGACTACCGTCTTTCATGAATTGCTTTTTCCTGAAGGCCCTTGGAATAACTAGTTAAATCATCATGTTGCCTCTTTTCATAACTGAACCACGAGTTACATCTGGGGAAAACTGGCTACTTCAATATCCCCTTTGGGTCGAAGCTGATTTGAAGTTATGCAATTCAACAGCAGTGAACTTCATCTGGAAAGGGTGGAAGTGTCATTCAATGCATAAACCAAAAACCAAACTCGTTG